CTCATTATCCATTCATCTGCCCCCTCCAGTGCTGTTGTCTGGCTACCAGAGGCCTGCTATTGCTACACCCCTCCCCCCCACCCCCTCCAAAATCCTGGGTGCCCCAAAGCCACAGGAGCCAGGAGAGCCTGTGGGTTGCCTGGGAAACTGCAGCCAGGCACTGATGGGGAGCGGTCCAGGGGAGCAGTTGCCATGGAGACCGGAAGAGCATGATTGCCTTGGCAACAGTCCTGTTCCCCTCCTCTTCAGGGCTGTATCCTGAGGAGGTGTACCTCAGCCGGGGGTCCCCTACCCACCACCCACCAGTGAGTGTGCACCCAGGCCAGGTCCCTGGGTGGGGATGGAGGTGGCGGCGCCTGCCCACCCTGGGGGAGAGCCTGGGCTGCTGGCGCATCCCCCTAGCTTCACGGCGCAAAGGAAGAGGCGAGGCCAAGCTCGACTCCTTGGCTTTATCACTCCACACACCACCACAAGTCGCTCCCACACCTGGTCCTCGCCAGGAAGTGGGCAGGAAAGCTGGGCACAGCAGGGACCAGAGGCACAGGCAGGCTCCAGGGTGCCCTGGGGCTGTCCTCCCACCCCAGGAGGAGAGCAGGGACCCTGCAGAGAGTGACAGAGGGACACCGTCTTCTTCCCCAGGTGGCAGAATAGCTAGCAAAGGGGCATACTTCACCACTGCCAGCCCCTGGGTTCCCCTGCACGGTCTAGGCAGTGGCTGTAGGCACATGGATTGGGGGCAGAGGGTGGTGAGGACAATGGCGGCACCAAGGCGTGCCACTGCAGTGGCTGTAGGGGCAGGGGTTGGGTCTCTGTCCACACAGGCAGCTGTGTTCTGCCAGTCCTAGTCTTGCCCCTGCCATCCTCCCCACAGACAAAGCCACGCTCTGGAAGAGCCAAACAAGGGAGAAGTCCTGTGTGGTTTTGGGGGAGCTCTGGGCTAGGAAAGGGGCACAGGTCAAACAGACACTTGCCAGAGGAACACCTTGGTGTGGGGCTGGGGACTCAGCTCGTCAGCTCAGACACTCACTGAGTATATATCCTCTAAGCCTCCATGTTCAGTGGGAGGGTCCCTTTGGCAAAGAAAGGGCAGATGAGGAGACTATAACTCCTCCCCTTCCAAAAACAGAGGTGGGAGACACACCAGGACCGTTCCCACCCAACAGGAATCACTCAGCTGCATGTGAGGGGACAGCTGAGATGCCTGCAGGCTCTGGGCTTGTCTTGGTTCACGCTGCACCTCCCTGGGCTCCCCCACCAGGTGCTCTCAGGCCTGGTAGAGGGGTACCACACGGTCAATGGGCCCCCGGCAGATGGGGCAGAGGCGGGCAGGCAAGGCCTGGAAGCAGCGGAAGCAGCAGCAGATGTGGCCGCAGCTCAAGAGGACACACTCACGGGGCCGTGTCAGGCAGATCACGCAGGAGTCCTCGGGCCCCCCGTCCCCAGCCTCCTCGCTGTCCGGCTCCTTGTCCTCACTCTGCTGCTTGAGGCGGGCGCGGCGGTAGGCACGGCACAGGGCATGCAGGAGGACGGCCAGGCCGGCTGCGGCACACAGTATGGCTGCCCCCTTCCAGAGCCCCCTGGCCGACTCCAGCTCCGCCAGCACCGTCTGCCAGTCCCCCAGGCACAGGAAATACTCGCCCCCCTGGGCTGGTGGCTGCAGGTGCAGGGAGCCATCGGGGTGCAGGGCCAGCTCACCGATGCCTGTCAGCCCAGCCCCCACCCGTAGTATCTCCTCCGTTTCCAGGATGCCCTTTGGCTTCTCCCCGCTCAAATACTGGCCCAGCAGGTCGCGGAAGCCATGGGCTGGCTGCTGGCAC